GGCATACTTATACTTACTTATAAATATAAATTATTTTACTAGGTATACTTTATAAATAAAATTTATCAACCTATTGTTGTTATTGTCATTCAGTTGCCCAATCACGTCTGACTCTTTGTGACCTCATAGACTGTAGCACATCAGGCCTCTCTGCCCCTCACCATCTCCCAAAATTTGCCCAATTCATGTCCCTTGCATCGGTGATACCATCCAGCCATCTCATTCTCTGACACCCTCTTCTCCTTCTGCCCTCAATCTTTCCCAGCATCAGGGACTTTTCCAATGAGTCAGCTGTTCACATCAGATGACCAAAACACTGGAGTTTCAACGTCAGCATCAGTCCTTCCCACGGGTATTCACGGTCGATTTCCCTTAAGATGATTGGTTTGATCTTCTTGCTGTCTACGGGACCCTCAGGAATCTTCTCCAGCATCATAGACGAAGGCATCAATCCTTCAGTGCTCTGCCTTCTTTACAGTCCAGCTCTCACAACCGTACATGACCACTGGAAAGACCATAGCTTTGACTATACGGACATTTGTTGGCAGAGTAATGTCTCTGCTTTTCAACACACTTTCTAGGTTTGTTGTAACTCTCCTGCCAAGAAGCAAACATCTTCTGATTTCATGGCTGCAGTCACCATCCACAATGATTTTAGAGCCCAAGGAGAGGAAACTGATCACTGCTTCTACCTTTTCCCCCTGTATTTGCCATGAAGTAATGGGGCTGGATGCCATCACCTTAGCTTTTTTTAATATTGGTATAGTCTATGAAACAGAGGTAGATTTTTGGAATTTCCTAGCTTTCTCTATGAACCAGCAAGTGTTGGCAATTTGAGCTCTGGTTCTTCTGCCTTTTCTCCACCCAGCTTGGATGTCTGGAAGTTCTTGGTTCATGTAATGCTGAAGCCTAGCATGCAAGATTTGAAGCATGACGTCACTAGCATGGGAGATGAGAACAACTGTCTGATGGTTAGAGCATCCTTTAGTGTACCTTCTTGGGAACTGGGATGAGGACTGTCCTTGTCCAGTCCTGTGGCCACTGCCGGGTCTTCCAGATTTGCTGATATATTGAATGCAACACCCTGATGGCATCATCCTTTAGAGTTTTGAAGAGTTTACTGGAATTCCGTTAATCTATTAATAAATATCAAATTAATTGACTCCTACATATAAAGTAAAATGCTATAGGTTCCTAATATACACGGGAAAGATTGTGCAGCCACTTTTCCCATTTTTTTAAATTAATGTGACATTAACTTGGACTTTGATAGCTTGATATTAGATGTGCTCAGTCACTCAGTCATGTCCAACTCTTGGTGACCCTATGGACTGGGGCCCACCAGGTTCTTCTATCCATGGAATTCTCTAGGCAAGAATACTGGAGCAGGTTTCCATGCCCTCCTCCAGGGGATCTTCCTGACCCAGAGACTGAATCTGCATCTCTTGTGTCTCCAGCATTGGCGGGTGGATTTCTTTTTTTCTTTTTTTTAACAGCTTTTAAAATACTTTATTTTTTTTTAATTTTTTGTCCATTTATTTTTATTAGTTGGAGGCTAATTACTTTACAATATTGTAGTGGTTTTTGCCATACATTGACATTAATTAGCCATGGATTTACATGTGTTCCCCATCCCGGTCCCCTCTCCCACCTCCCTCCCCACCCCATCCCTCTGGGTCTTCCCAGTGCACCAGGCCCGAGCACTTGTCTCATGCATGCAGCCTGGGCTGGTGATCTGCTTCACCCTTGATAATATACATGTTTCGATGCTTTCTCTCGTAACATCCCACCCTCGCCTTCTCCCACAGAGTCCAAAAGTCTGTTCTGTACATCTGTGTCTCTTTTTCTGTTTTGCATATAGGGTTATCATTACCATCTTTCTAAATTCCATATATATGTGTTAGTATACTGTATTGGTCTTTATCTTTCTGGCTTACTTCACTCTGTATAATGGGCTCCAGTTTCATCCATCTCATTAGAACTGATTCAAATGAATTCTTTTTAATGGCTGAGTAATATTCCATGGTGTATATGTACCACAGCTTCCTTATCGATTAGTCTGCTGATGGGCATCTAGGTTGCTTCCATGTCCTGGCTATTATAAACAGTGCTGCGATGAACAGTGGGGTGAACGTGTCTCTTTCAGATCTGATTTCCTCGGTGTGAATGCCCAGAAGTGGGATTGCGGGGTCATATGGCAGTTCTATTTCCAGCTTTTTAAGGAATCTCTACACTGTTCTCCATAGTGGCTGTACTAGTTTGCATTCCCACCAACAGAGTAAGAGGGTTCCCTTTTCTCCACACCCTCTCCAGCATGTATTGCTTGTAGACTTTTGGATAGCACCCATCCTGACTGGCATGTAATGGTACCTCATTGTGGTTTTGATTTGCATTTCTCTGATAATGAGGATTCCTTATCACTAGTGCCACCTGGAAGGACATGTTCATTTCTCTCTGTGTTTCCAAGTAAAACTTTGACCAGTATAAATTTTCTGGCCTCTAACCAGAAGTAAATTATTTGATTTGCAGGTTTAAAAGAAGGAATCAGTCAGGCTTGACTCAGCCCCTTTCTCTTGCTGGATCAGCCTATCTGCAAAAAGAATGCACTTGTACTTGCTCTCCTCCCAACACTAATAGAGTAAGACTTCATGGATAGCGCCAGTAGAAGGTTTGGGTTGATAGAGTTGTGTCTTTGACAGGATGGGTACACTTAATTCTAGAATTCAACATTAGAAAACACCTGACTCTCATCTATATCATGTCTCTCAACAGCTTTTTTCAGTAATGAAGCTACAATTTGATGATCATCTGTATGACTCCTATGTTTCTCTCTCAAAAGGTTCTGAACTGGGCAAGGAATGAAGGATGTGTTTACTGACCTCTCTCCCCTAAGAAGCTTATAATCACTATACTGGGGTCATGTTGAACATTTTTCAGGGTCCATAACTCAAGATCACAAGGGGAGAAATATTTCTTTCAACCACAAGAAGGGGAGGAAAATTTTAAAAACTGAAGCAACTGTAAGGTGTAATTTCCTCCTCCAGAATAGCCAGCAAAACTCATCTTATTTTGCTTATCCATAAAAGTTACATGATCCTTCAACAGAAAATAGGTTATGAAATCTGGATTTTTAAGAATGATATTAAAGAGTTTGAAACCATCTTTCTTAGAATGGAACTAAAGGTTTTCCTGATCATGATCCCAGAGTATCATTCTTAAAGAGAATGCCCTTCATTTATATGTTGTAATGTCTTAAAGATGGCCATCATTTTTTAAAATCATATGAGAATATTAATAAAAGTAATATGAGCTTTGTTCAATAATTTGCTTCTGCCAAACCATTTGTCAAACTACAAAATACAGCTTTGGTATTTACATATTTTAAATATTAATGTCTAACTTTACTTCCACCATTTTTAAAATTCAATCAGTTTCTGTTTGCAGGGGGAGAGTTAAAGATACTGCATCATACCTCAATAGTGTAATGACAGGTACAAGACAAACAAAGGTTAAACATATATCTCTCAATACTTTTTGTGAAAGCATTCCAAGCCATTCTGCTGTTCCAGGTGAATTCTGTAGAAAGTTAGCTATATCTCCATGATCTTTTTAATAAACAGATCAATTTCTAGATGTTTCAGAAAGAAAACCCAAGCTATGGTAGTTCATTTTCCTCACTATCTATTCAATTACTGCTGTTTGTTGTTTAGTAACTAAGTCATGTTTGACTTTTTTGTGACCCCATGGGCTGAAGCCCACCAGGCTCCTCCTTCCATGGGATTTCCCAGGCAAGAACACTGGAGTGGGTTGCCATGTCCTTCTCCAGAGATCTTTCCGACCCAGGGATTGAGCAGACGGTCCCTTCCCAGGTGGCACTAGCGATAAAGAACCTGCCTGCCAAAGCAGAAGTCAAAAGAGACTTAAGTTCGATCCCTTAAGTTCTTTGCCCCAAAGGGTGGCAAAGAGTTGGACATGACTGAAATGACGTAGCGCACTCCTGCACTGGTAGGTGGTATGGTTGCCACGAGCCACCAGGGAAGCCATTCAATTGTTACCAGATCCTATGATCTTTTGACTATCACTTAGTTTTTCAAAATCATGGTTTATACTCTTCTCTCTTGATAATACTACAAAAACTTACACATAATAAAAGTCACATGAAAGTGAAAGTGTTAGTCTCTCAGTCATGTCCAACTCCTTGAGATCTCATGCACTGTAGCCCGCCAGGCTCCTCTCTCCATGGAATTCTCCAGGCAAGAATGCTGGAGTGGGTTGCCATGCCCTTCTCCAGGGAATCTTCCCTACCCAAGGATCAAACCTGGGTCTCCTGCACTGCAGGCGGATTCTTTACCATCTAAGCCAAGACATTTGTCTTTAATTCTAATGGGAACTATGATTGTCTTGAGAAGTGCTAAAATGTACTTCGTGTTTACTCTGTGTATCTTTGCAGTTTAAAAACAATATTTTCATATTTTTATAAAACTACCTATTTTTACTGGACGATATTTATAAAAGTCCAATTTTTAAATGAATCTTAACAAAATCCACCTCCCACAGATCTATTTGCTGATAAAGGGGATAGTAGAGGCATATTGAACATTAAAAATGAAACTAAAGGCATCTTCTCAACTATATTAGGATAGAGGAAAAAGACAAAATATCCCTGCTGAGGGAAAAAATTAAATTTATTATCATTTTGCATGCTGTTACTTGGCTTTTGAAAGAAGAGCATGTTAAGTTAAATAATATCATTTCCATGTAGGTTATCTTTGTCACCTTCAGGTTTGTGATTGCTGTTCCTGTTCAGTCTTTTAAAGATTTAAAAACAATCTTTACCAATTGTTAAAGTTAAAAGAATCTTGTAGATAGTAGCAAGTATAAATTTTTAGTCTTCAGCTTTTCTCTAGCCATCTAGACAAAAAGAGACTTTCACTTTCAAAGTGTGTTGCAGCATTACTTTATATAAAACACACAGGATCTAGGAAATGTAAAACAAGTACCTGGAATTACCCCAATCAGTACCAATGCCTGAGAGTGATCCTCTGGAGTCACTTGCATATTTGTAAACCACTAGCAGGCACTGTTTACAAAGCTCGACCAGGCGCTGGCAACACTGAAGCTGCAAAGGAGTCACCACTTCCGGGCTTTTATTGAAAATACTCTCCCAAGAGGATCTGTTGGCATGGAAACAGACATGACCCCATGTGGCTGTTAAAAATGGCAATCAACAATATCACTTACCTAGCAACAAACCAATAAAGAAAAAGTAGAAATGGCTTCACACATTTGAAGTGACTACAGATGGTTAGCGTTATCAGGTAAATATGCAAAATGAAGGGTAATCTTTATGTTAAAAAAATGCAACACAGAATTCCTATCTTTAAAGATTTAACTGATGCCAGCTCTCAGTAGCTAAGTGGATGGTTTCCCAACAGCTCGTAAAAACTGAGTTACTTTACACTGAAGGAATTGTAAAACACAGCTAATTTCTCAAAACTTAGGTATTCTAGAAATACAGATTTTCTAGGAAGCTGCATTTATTTTTATATTAATGATGATTCAACAGATTAAAAAGTCACTGTAACTTAATTTGTGATCTCTGTGAACCAACAAAATTTAGATTAATCCCATGATTATGACCACCCCTTTCAAAACATGTTCATATGTAATTATGTCCATGATATTCCTAGAGCACATGCTCTATTCTATAGAAGTAATGTAATCTCAACAAGTGCTGCCCTGCCAGTTCCAAAGGTAGTGTCCATCAGCACATTCAGCTCAGTGGACAGCAGGCGGTAGTGCACAACGCCATGGTAAACTTAAGTGAGCGCACGTGTGTGTGTGTGTGTGTGTGTGTGCACATCTATATTTGTTCACAATTCCTAAGTTGACTGCTATGACCCAAATGAGAAAACATGTTACTACCCCACCAGCATTGGGAAAGAGAGAGAGAGACTGATTTCCTTAGTGTAACGGAAACTCCTTTCAAGCTTCAAGGGGAAAGTTTTCTTGAGACTTGGTAATGGTTCAAGTCTCATTTTACATAAACCAATTCACTTAATCCTCAGAGAAAGAAAAGACTAGATTTTAAGAGAGAAAAAATATATTAAGAAAAATATTTTTCTGAAGAACTGCATTTCCCAATGGGAAATTCTAAGACTCCATTTTCAATCTTCTGTGGATATTTGATATCTTTGGAATTTTTTTAAAATGCTGTAGGAACTCATAAAGGTATTTTTTAGTAGAAAGTCTATTGTTTATTTTTTCAGGAGAAACATGGTCCCAAAAAGACAGCATGTCATCAGTGAATGACAAATTTTCTTAAAGGGAATAAGATTCAAATAAAGTAGACTGAAAGGAATAAACTTTCTTCTATGTTCTGAGATGTTCAAGGGCTAATTATACAATACTGTTTTTATTATTTAAAAGGGATTAAAGGTTATTTTTGTTCAAGAAACTAATATTTTAGTTAAATTAACTCTAAAATTTTATTTTATTACTAAATGTAAGAAAAACTAATATGACATACATGTTTCTATTTCTATATTTGTATATATATATGTATGACTTTATTTTTTGGGGCTCCAAAATCACTGCAGATGGTGATTGCAGGCATGAAATTAAAAGACACTTACTCCTTGGAAGGAAAGTTATAACCAACCTAGATAGCATATTAAAAAGCAGAGACATTACTTTGCCAACAAAGGGCTGTCTAGCCAAGTCTATGGTTTTTCCAGTGGTCATGTATGGAGGTGAGAATTGGACTGCGAAGAAAGCTGAGCACCGAAGAATTGATGCTTTTGAACTGTGGTGTTGGAGAAGACTCTTAAGAGTCCCTTGGACTGCAAGGAGATCCAACCAGTCCATCCTAAAGGAGATCAGTTCTGGGTGTTCATTGGAAGGACTGATGTTGAAGCTGAAACTCCAATACTTTGGCCACCTCATGAGGAGAGCTGACTCATTGGAAAAGACCCTGATGATACTGGGAAGGATTGGGGGCAGGAGGAGAAGGGGATGACAGAGGATGAGATGGTTGGATGGCATCACCGACTTGATGGACAAGTTTGAGTAAACTCTTGGAGTTGGTGATGGACAGGGAGGCTTGGCGTGTTGTGATTCATGGGGTCACAAAGAGTCAGACATGACTGAGTGACTGAACTGTACTGAACTGAACTGAATTGAACACATATCTATCACCAATTTATTTCATGTGATCAAGAAAAATATTGGAGAATGCAAATTAATAAGGGAATTTGTTTATAATATGTCTTGGTCTAGCAAGTTTTACATGCCTAGGTTCAGAGAAATTAAAGTTTCATATGAATGTAAATACACCAAGAAAATGTTCTGACTCTTGACTGAACACTTTTACATTCTCTTCCCTGGGGTTCTAGTTATTTCCATAAAAGTCTACCTCCATCACCACCCTCTCTTCTGAATAAGAATATATTTCTATTTTAATACTCTGGAGCCATTTGATTAGATTCACTATCAGATCACTCACATCATGGTAATTTTTGTTTTCCTGACTTGAAGTTAAGAAAAGAACAAACAAAATGGAAGAAAGACAAACGAGCTTCTTTTATCAATATAACACCTTAATTTGACATAACATTCTGAGTAATATGTGAGTTATAATAGGGCAGCTTTGGCTTCTCATTCTGTCATTCTTATTCTGAAAATAAACATGAGATGGTTCTCTATCTAATTTTGCTGTGTATGTTCACTACCACCGACCAAAGGCTACATTCTACACTATTAAGCCATATTTAATTGTCAGAATGCCAGAATCACTCACAAAGAAAAAAGAAAATGACCAGGACTTACTTTGCTTGGTACTAGGCTAATGGTACCCCCTCTGTAGAAAAGAAACCTATTCTTCAGCGAGTGTTTAAGAACTGTGTCCCCAGTCTCCTAACCTGCCACCTGGCACAGCTGAATAATGTGAAATCCCTCTAGAACACCACAGTATCTCAATTTCAATACTAACACAAAAAACTTGAAGTAACTGAAAGAAAGGAGAATAATTTATAACACTAATGCCTTTATCAAAGAACCCAGGGTCTTATCTGCCCACTTTCTGAATCAAAATTCCAAGGAAATGGGAGGACCAAAATCCATGAATTCAGAAAGAAAAAGTAAATGGTTAAAAAGTTCTCTCTGGCACTCCTGAATCCTCAGAGAAATATGAAAAGTAACAACTTCAAATGACATTTTAAAATAATATAACAATGATACAGAATAATGAATAACCTCCTGGTAACAAAGGGGAATCACTAATGAAACCCAGAAACTTGAAAAGCCACATATTATCCAGTAATCCAATAATATTCACCACCTTTCTCATGAAAAATATTTAATAAAGCAGCTATCTAAAAAATAAAACATTCATTTCTTTTTCCTCTGGTAGGAGCCCTAATGAATGATTGAGGAGCCCAAAGTTAGTAGCAGAAAGAAGAAAGTAAAAAAAAAAAATCTGGACCTCACCAACTGGATAATCAGCTCAGAAAGATTAATGAGCTGAAAAGCACTAACAAGACAACATCCAACTAAAGTGATAGAGAACAGTAAGAGTCAAATCATTTTATTAATAAGTAGTACATAATGATATGCATACATATTCACATAGGCATATAATTCAGCCTAGAAGCAGACCCTTGCCTTAGTATTTCTACAATTTCTTCCCCCTAAGACTGTTAAAAAATAAAACAAATAAAAATAGAAAGCATTTCTATGATGAATTTCCATAAGAAAATGTCTTTCACTAAAGGGTCTAAACTAGATTCTTTTCTCTGAGGTTTACATACCAGGATTTTGAGTGAAGACAGAGTTTTTCCAAATAATACATTCCTTCTCCCATAGGCCCCTGCCTCCTCTTCTTCCTCCTCCTGCAACTCTTAAGATGCAATGTTACTTCCCTTGGACAACTCTTGTGAGCTCTATGGCCCAAGTTTAAGTCCCATAGCACCCAGGCTTGCCCTATCTCAGTAAAACGTGGTGGATAATTTTATTTATGAAAATTACAAGAGTTTTTCCCTAGGAGAGGACACATTCAGAACGTGGAGCATCATTCTGAATAGCACTCCCAGGAGGCTGCATGTCATTAAAAGAGTCCCTGGGCATGGGCTTCAGCAGCCTGAAAGAGCAAGAGAAAAGGATGAGCATGTTTTCTATTCAGTGCATCAGCAAAACCCCTGGGCCAATTGTCAGAAAACCAATGACAAACATCCACATTATTATTTGATGTTTTGGGATATGAACAGGGAATAGCTTATTTGTTTTGTTTTATTATTGGGAGTTGAGACAAGCAGTGGCAGGAAGCAAGGTGGCTCAGAGTTATTTGGATTATATTTTTTCCAAGAGTTTTATACCTAACTGTGAAAGCTGCACCTTTTATTAAAATCATTCCTTTAGAGCTAAGCTAAGAGTAGATTTTTTACCTAGACCATTAGGTTGTTAGATCAAAGGTTAAAGAAGTATACATTGACTGGACATGATTCAAAGAAAAAGTAGAACTATCCTGGATTCAAAGTGCCAACCAAACACACACAAAGCATTATCTGAGTTCATCAAATTAAGGAACCCAAGGAATGTCAATTGTAAAGGTATAAAATAAATCTGGTGTAAAACTCATCTCTACAAACCACCAAGTTTTTAAGGAAATGGTTAGAGAGAGGAGGTCAAATTGAATACAGAGCTACTCCTGCTCTATCTGCTCAGTTTGATGGGTTGAGGATTTGGCTAGTGCTTCAGGGCTTGCAACATAGTAAGCTTGGCAACCACTGGCAATGCTGCTTTGAGAAGAGTGAATAAAGCACAGAGTTAAGAACTTGGACTCTTGACTCACACAACCTGAGTTTAAATGCAGGCTCACTATGAAAATGTGGGTAAGTTATATACTTTATGCTGCAATTTTTTCATCTATGCAATGAGAATAATAATAATAGTTTACTCAAACTATTGTAGTGGCAATTATAAAAATATTTAACATATAAAACAGTTTCAGACACTTAGTAATCCTTCAAAAAATGTTATTTACTTTCATTATCATTACCAGTAGTAACAGACACCACCAGAGAAATGTGAGTGGAGGATTGTTCCAGGTACAAGACGAAAGGATTCTGAATGGAGTCAAAGTAAATTACCAAAATAGAGTCACTAGCACCCATTTCAATAGCTGGCTATCTCACTGTCTTCCATTCATGAAAAGAAGCTGAAATTCATGTTCAACATTCCAACCAGTGGATCAACAAACAGAAAGAAAAAACTCTAATTATGATTTAAGATTAAGAGAAATTCTGTAGATAGTCAGCGACTAAGGGTCATGGAGTACAGTTCAAATGTTTTACTTAAGTCTCAGTAGAAATAATTCATAACCGAGACTATTCTCAGATTTCATCACAATCCAGAGCACCTTATGGATTCTCCCTGCTGGTGAGTGATAGCCGAGGAAAATAATGGTGGTGAGAGTAAGTCTACAAATGGTATAAATGATTCAGTACTAGATGATGTGAGTACTTAAACAGAGGACATTCAGATCATTTCAGACTAGAAAGTCTGTTAAGATTTTACCCAAAAAAGACATAGTCTGGGTCTTTACATAGGAGTCAAACAATGGAGAGGGGATTGGATAAATGGGTTTGTAGAAGGCAGTCCAATCAGACACTCATTGACATTAATAGTTGGAAGAAATAAAAAGAAAATTTTTAAGATATTTGAAAAATAATTAATTTGTTTGGGGGAGGAGAGTTTAAGTAGAAGAGTAATGAGAGAGACGACAGGAAAAATAATAAGAAATTTAGCATATTAGAGAGTCTTGTATCTTTAAAGAAGAAATCTAGACATTAACAATAAATGAAGGAAATCATTACAGATTTTAGGAAATGACTGTGACATTAGGATGGATAAGGGAAACAAAAAACTAGAGGCAAAAATGCCTAGGAATTTATGAATTTCACTTAGCCTTTCCCCCTTAAAGGCTCGTCATATCTGAAATTCTACAATACTTTCTCTTTCATAATCATGACTCTTCATGTATCTTATTTTGTCTATTAGAGACAGGAGAGTTTATTGATTAACAGAATGAAGACTGGGGCCAGGCTGCTTGAGGTCAAATCTCAGTTGCACTAGGTCCTTAGTACCTATCTCTGCCTCAGTTTCCTTATCTCTAAAATGAAGATAATCATAAAACCTGCTTCAAAGTGATGTTATGTGGACTAAATCACTTAGTACAGGCACAGTGCTTAGAACAATGCCTGGCACATAATAAGTGGTATAGTATTAGCTATTATCATTTTTAAGTTTCTTGAGGGCAGTGTTAGTAGCTCAGTCATGTCCGACTCTTTGTGACCCCATGGACTGTAGCCTATCAGGCTCCTCTGTCCATGGGATTCTCCAGGCATGAATACTGGAGTAGGTTGCCATTTCCTTCTCCAGGGGATCTTCCCGACCCAGGGATCGAACCCAGATCTCCCACATTGCTGGCAGATTCTTTACCATTTGAGCTACCCCGGGAAGCCTCTTGAGGACAGGGGCTGTATCAAATTCAGCATTGTATCTCCAAAAGTATTTAAACTATCAAGTAAACACGAGATAATTGTTAGGAACAATGAAGAACAATCTTGAATTAAATAATTGAGAACTGTTAAGAAAAACGAAAAATAAACCACAGTAGCTACAGTGGGGATGTGATAGAAAAACTAACAAGATTTAGCCCATGTCTGAAAAGACAATGAAGGAGAAAAAGGACACGGATGCACCTGAGATACCAAACCTGTATGACTGGGAGAGTAACAGTGGGATTTTGGGAAGTCCAGAAGGGAAGCCATTTCCGAATAAAAGGGAAGTATGGAATAACCTCAGATATGCAGACAACACCATCCTTATGTCAGAAAATGAAGAGGAACTAAAGAGCCTCTTGATGAAAGTGAGAGAGGAGAGTGAAAAGTTGGCTTAAAGCTCAACTTTCTGAAAACTAAGATCATGGCATCTGGTCCCATCACTTCATGGCAAATAGATGGGGAAACAGTGGAAGCAGTGTCAGACTTTATTTTTGGGGGCTCCAAAATCACTGCAGATGGTGATTGCAGCCAAGAAATTAAAAGACACTTACTCCTTGGAAGGAAAGTTATGACCAACTTAGACAGCATATTAAAAAGCAGAGACATTACTTTGTCAACAAAGGCCCATCTAGTCAAGGCTATGGTTTTTCCAGTGGTCATGTATGGATGGGGGAGTTGGACTGTGAAGAAAGCTGAGTGCCGAAGAATTGATGCTTTTGAACTGTGATGTTGGAGAAGACTCTTGAGAGTTCCTTAGACTGCAAGGAGATCCAACCAATCCATCCTAAAGGAGATCAGTCCTGTTTGTGTTCATTGGAAGGACTGATGCTGAAGCTGAAACTCCAGTACTTTGGCCACTTCATGTGAAGAGTTGACTCATTGGAAAAGACCCTGATGTTGGGAGGGTTTGGGGGCAGGAGGAGAAGGGGATGACAGAAGATGAGATGGTTGGATGGCATCACCAACTCGATGGGCATGAATTTGAGTAAACTCCGGGAGTTGGTGATGGACAGGGGGGCCTGGCGTGCTGCGATTCATGGAGTCACAAAGAGTCAGACACAGCTGAGCGACTGAACTGAACTGAACTGAACTGAACTGATGGAATGCTTGGCTTTAGATACCTTGAAGACAAAATGACAGTGAGTCACAACAGCTTTGACAGGACTGAAAGTCTGGAAAGGAGCAGAAGTATAGCCATGATTTTGGAAGATGGTTACATAAAGGAAACAGCAGAAGAACCATAAGGATACTGATGTAATTGAGTTTCTTCATTAGGAATACTTTCACTCCATTGAATTCAAATTAGTTAGGTGCTATTGTGTTCACAGCCATCATCTCATCTATATCAGCTTAAATATTATAAATTATAGTTAAGCACTGAAACTTATATGCAGTTACAAAACCACATTTTAAGAGAGTAAAGAAATTCAGCCATTTTATTGGGTTATCTTTATAATTAAATAGTAAAAGATGTAAAAAAATGACAGTAATAGAAAATAACTTAAAACTTACCCTGAATCACAAAAACAGTTCCACAGACCTTGGCCATGACTCCAGAGTAAGCGATTAAAAACTCGGTTGAAAATTCTATACAAATTCACTTCCTCAACATCAGGTACCTTCCAGATACGTGGAAGAACTGCACGGATACTTGTTTTCACTATGTCCAAAACCTAGTGCAAAAACCAAAATATTTAAAAATCTAGGTGTATAAGTATATGTCTAAAATTCAAAGATGAATATATTTAATTCAAATATGACTACACACACACATACTGACTCACTCATTCACTAAAAGACAGTACAGAATGAAAAGTCCAGAAATAGATTCAGTATTTATGAAACTTTGGTATATGACATAAGTGGCAAGTCTGACGATTAGGATAAGAAGACATTAAATTTAAAAATTAAATTTAAGTTAAATTTAAAGTAAATCAATAAAAAGATTTTTTTAAAAATAGCAATATTCATGAAAAAATAGCTGAAGGTGAAATCATTACTTTACTCCTTCCACAAAAATCAATTTCACAGTGATTAAGGCTTTAAGTTTAAAAAATAAGCCATTAAATATCTTAGTGGAAAGTACTAGTGAATATCTTTTATCATGGGTTAGAAAAAGATTACTTAAATAACAAAAAAGTATAGAATATAAAATATTAATAGATTTTGATTATACTAAAATTAAGAACTCTGGCCATCAAAAGATACCTTAAAGGAAATAAAAGATCAAGTTACAGGCTTGGAAAATACATTCAAAACATATACATCTAACCAAATAATAGTATCTGGAATGTATAATGAATGCCTAACCAATTGTTAATATACACACCAACAAATCAACAGAAAAAAATGGACAAAAATACATAATTCACAAAAGAAGAAAATATGCCCAATAAACATAATGAATAAAAATTGAGACTATAATTAGATATCATTTTCTATCCATTTAGTTGACAAAAATTCAAAGTCTGACAATACCAAGTATTGGAGAAATATGGATCTATAGGATCTCAAACAAAACTGGCGGGAGTACAAACTGGAAAATATTAGCTGGGCATTAACTGCTAAAGTTGAAAATGCATATCCTATGACCCAGCAAGTTTATTCCTAAGAGAAAATCTCTCATAGGTTAAAAGCAAGTGCATGTACAAGAATGTTGAAACAACTGGTCACAATTGTAGACACCTGAAGAAAACCTAACCCTACATCAGTGAGAAAGTGAATAAATAAATAGTCATAGGCTAATTCCCTTAGACTTCTATACAGCAGTTGAATGAAATAAATAGGCACACAATACAGAGCATCTTAATTATTAATGGTTAAGTTTTTAAAAAATACGTACCAGTCAATACATGCAAGGTGAAACTTTTTATACAAGTAAAATACTTAAATTTTAAAAATGCTTATGAGGAGTACACATAGATATAATAAGATCATATTAAAAAAACAAAACAAGGGACTGAGGAATACTGAATTTCAGAAAATGGCTACCTGAGACATGAAGGGCCAGGGGGATGGGAAGGGAGTCATAAGATAACAGGTTATTGCCAAAATCCTTGATTTGGGTGTTGGGTTCACAAATGGTACAGTAACTTAAGAACACTATTTAATAAAAGCAGGCCAGTATATGGACCAGTAAAGAGAGGGTATCACAAAACAATGGCTGGGATTAGTCTAATTCTGGGCAACTAAAATCCTAGATATTCTAAAAAATGTATAAATCCCAGAAAGCTACTTTGTCTAGTTTGACATATTTAATATTTTTGCAGTTCACGAATTTCCAATGAAATGTTTTCTTAAGAAGTAAATATCACAAATATAGTATCCTAATTTCAATTCACCAAAGTAGATTTTCATTTCTTATTTTATTCATCTAATATAAGGAACTGACTGTAAATATGACAGTAAAAGATGAAAAAAGAACAACTTTCAAACATAAAGGCTGATAGAAGATATGATTTTTCTCCATAGGCACAAATATATAATAGAACTGGAAGCAGATAAAAGAATTTAATTTGTTTCTCTTTAATAAAAACAGCCATATTTAAAGAAGTGATATTAGTTCTCTCTGATGAAGGTAAATTTAGAATAAACATGTGTTTAAAAGCAATTTAGGAAAAAATATCTCCAAATAACATTTTATTTATAGAAGAGTATCAACTACAGCTTCTCCAAATGAATTGTGTAAGCACCACGATGTCATCCCTTCCTGCTCCAGCTTCTTTCACTGTTAAGTGGGAACAGTATGTAAACCAAAAAGAAATCAGGGGTGTGTGGGTTGAAGGGGAGGAGAATGAGGAAAGATACTACCATCTGTAATAAAGTAGCTTGTGAAAAAAATTGTCCCAGAAAACCTTGTTATTACAGATAATGAAACCTTAATTATGAAGAGGGATTTTAAATTTTTAATATGAATTATTCACAATAATACTGATAAAATATGCACATCAGACATTAATTCATACCTTTTTTTTTCTTTGCAGTTGAGCTAATAGTTTAAACGCTTATATTTTTAATGTGGAAAACAGGACTTATGACTGATGTGATACAAGAATCAACACTAGCAGTAAATGGTGAATTTTAATCAATTCTCTTCTCAATTTTTCTTCCTCCTTTCTATGTATTAGTGAGCCAAAAGTCATAATGCAGGAAGAATTTTTAAAAGTAGCAAAGATAACCCATAAATTTATTTTAAGAATAAATATGAGTTCTATATAATAAATGAAAGTAAAGTGTTAAAAAATGTTAACTATCTTCATTTTGTATTCTATTATTAATTATTCAACTTGAAAGCAACATAGGGCTTCCCCACTAGCTCAGTGGTAAAAGAATCTGCCTGCAATGCAGGAGACATAGGAAATGATAGGAAATGCAAGTGTTATCCCTGGGTAGAGAAGATCCGATAGAGCAGGAAAAAGTAACCCACTCCAGGAAAATTCCATGGACAGAGGAGCCTGGCAGGCTGTGGTCTATGGAGGCACAGAGAGCTGGACACGGCTGAAGCGGCTAAGCACCCACGCACACACACTGACACCGCATTTGAGATGACTCATTTTTCTGAACATGTGCACAGTGAGACGCATATGAGGCCTCAGAGCCAAAGAGGAGGGGAAGAGCACGCACAGCCTGCTCGCCCCCTGCCAAGTGCTGCACGAGTGCATCACTTAGAGGAGGCTCTCTTGGCCACTATTCTTCATGTTCTATTCTTAATTTTCATGGAATTTTAAAGCATGATGGCCTAATATACTAGGCTTGCTGTTATTGTTTGCTGTTTTAGTTAATAAGCCATCTTCAATTCTTTTGTGACCCCATGGACTGTAGCCCACCAGGCTCCTCGGTCCATGGGATTCTCCAGGCAAGAATACTGGAACGGGTTGCCATTTCCTTCTCCAGGGGATCTTCCTGACCCAGGGATCAAACCCACGTCTCCTGCATTGGCAGGTGGATTTTTTACCACTGAACCACCCGGGAAGCCAAAACACATGGCTAAAAGCAGCAACTTCAGAAAGTGGTCAGAGTTAGGGGTGGGGAATGCAGCTGCTCCACTCCTAACGTTTCCTCCAACATGGAGATGGATAGACCTTCAGGCCTCTTGCATGCCAGCAAACATCACTGCCTGTGGAGTGATTTCCCTGATTGTGGGACTAGCATGGTCTGGGCAACCCACAAATTTGTTCCTTCTTGCCAGAGTGCCTACTGGAAAGAAACATTTTCTTTTGCTTCCTTTGCCTTTCAATTTCAAGCTCTGGTCCTGGAGAAAAGAGTGGTTTAGAGAGACCTCTAATTTGGAAACCATTAGAGAATAAAAACCAAGGGATCAAGAGCCAAAACCCTTCATCTCTCCGCTAAGTCTTCATATAGACTCTCCATTGCCTGTGTTCACCTGGTGAACTTCCATGTTTTACCTCGAACATCACTTCTTCAGGGAGACATTTACCTGTCACTAGATACTTTATGATCCCTTAATGCCCAATTCTTCCACTATTAATAATTATCTCACTTTATTTTAATTTCCTGTGTCGTTAATGGAGATTGTTAGCTACATAAAAAGAGGAATTATACCTACCAGGTCCCAAGGCTCAAGACAGGTCTAGCACTTAGTATGTGTTTGTCTTAGTGAAAATGCTCCTTGCAAGGCACTGAAACCTATGTCAACAAGGTAAAAATCAGAGCTAACACATATTGAGGGTTTACAATGGACAAAGCACTGTTCTAATCACTTTTACAGCAATTCATTTAATACTCAAAAACATTGAGATAGATATGACTTGTCCATTTCTTTCCAAAAATCTTGAGGCTAGATTCCACAACCATGAACATTATATTTCTGCAGGAAAACATGTGAATACTCAAAGCAAGAGACAGACAAAAATAACTTCCTGTCACGTCATCGTCACTGAAAGAGTTCAGGTGGGTTAGGTTTTGCTGCCTCATAGTTTTGAAAGATGTTTTAGTTTTGAAAATGTTTGGATCTCATTTTATAGATGAGAAAATTCAGGCACACAGAAGATAAGTAACTTACCCAAGATCACACAATTAGGTAATGGATAGCAATGTAGCCGGACCCTTGTTCTTAACCACTACCCAGCAATGCTTCATGATTAATTCGATCCGTCCAGGGGACAACAGCAAATCAGAAGATAATCAAATTGTCTCTGCTTAGATTCAGATTCACCTCTAGGCAAGCAACACTTGGGAAGATGGGCGGAGTCAATGTGTACATACAACGCTGCCCAGGCAGGCCCTTCAGCAGGGCCATGGAATCCATCGGGGGCCAGTTTGCTTAAAAGACCGCACAGACGGGGAGACAATGCCTGCACCTCTAGCAAAATACCAACTGAACAATTTTAGAAAGGCAGAAAACAGGCAGGAAATCAGACTGGAATGAGGTAGATTAGTGTCAGTACTATTTGCAAGGCTGTTTGGTTTTCTGGGTGCTTTGGGGTCAGAAGCAAATGGACGGAAGAGGAATAATTTGTGAAACACAAAAACAATGGTCAGCAAGATGCCCTTTGTGTTTATCTGTGGACTCAAGTGAGGCTAACATAGAGTATGGGTGTCCATTTCCTGCCACTGTGACTTTTAAAAGCATTATGATCCAACATTAAGCTCTCCAAGGGAAAAAATAAATGGGAGATTCAGTCAATGAAAGCATTAAGAAAACAAAAAGATA